CTGGTACATTGACCGGCCGATCTTCGACAGAGGAATATTGCTTCCGAACACCCTTACTTAATCGAAATTGCCTATCATCAAATGTGGACAGCACATTATTAAGCATGGAAATGTCCCCGAAATACTTTCGCGTTTGTCGAATCCCACGTTATGTTTGACGCGACTACGATTCTCGCAGTGAACGGAAAATGGTCTATTAAAACAGGATGTTTTTTTTGGGCACATTACTGATTTACAAAAGTAGCCCATTCACCACCAGACTTTCTCACCCATTTAGTATTTCTGGAGAAAGCTCCTTAATCTTGGAGCCATTTGAGTCGACTTTCTATTTTTACTCCAAAAATTTGACTATTTTTGTTCAAATCTTTTGAAAGAAAATGCAGCCTATAAATGAGACCATTTTGTGAATTTGTGGTGAAAAGAGGGGACTGGTGGTTAAAAGGTTAGTACATTATTTACTTATCATTACAAGCTGTTTTTCTTTTTACATGCACATTGCACATGTCAATTCTGACATGTGGTAAAACTAGAAAAACATCATGAAACGGATATTGAAATCAACTTCAAACTAAATAGGATTTTTTTCCATACCTCTAAAGAGGTTGAAAAAAAAAAAATCGATAAAATTTCATCTGTTCAATATCATCATGAATTCTAAATGCAACTTTGAAAATAATGTTTTACTTTCACAATGCATTGTGTGATTGCAAAGATTTCTAAGTACCACACAGCATTCTGATTGATTAATTGCATTTTTGACCTATCATTCAAGATAATACAAACTTGAAGTTTAAAAGCATTTTATTGTAAACTAATGAAATAATATTTTCTGTAACAAATCATGACTGCATAATAATAAGCAATGCTGTTTGAACCTCAGAAAAGTAAGTGACTTTTGTCTGTACATTTATGGCCATAGATCATCAATTGTGATATGTTTTGATTCTGCCAGTATTCATAACACTACATACTGTCAGTTCAACAGTTTTTGTTTTCATTAATTAAAGCATAAATTGGAGATGGAAAAAATGTTGCAGAACAAAAACAGCCGTATGTATTAGTTCTCGGTTACCAATTAATTTTTTTACTTCCAGGTTTATTTACATATTTTTGAAATGTGATATACACTAAAATTATTAACTGACTTATCCTGATTATTATATTAAAAAGATATTTCATATCCCGGTAATGTATTTGATCATCTCAATTTCAAAATATTTAATAAACCTTGATTTTGCATACTCAGAAAATTCAGCTTTTTTTGGGGGGGGGGGGGGCTTCTAGAATTTTCACCAATCACAGAATTATGCTGTTTTTTCCATTCTGTAAGTATTTGTTTTGCAGCCCGTGTACCAAATTTGTAAACAATTGCTAATTGTATGCCAGAGAAAAAACACACAAGGACTAGTGAAAACAAAATGGCCACCAGTCAGCCAGATTGAATCAAATCAAATCACCAACAAAAAAATGTGCACCTGCAACCCAATATATCATCATATTAAAGTTTTATTAAAATTGTCAAAGTCATTTTTGAGAAACAGTTGCAGGGACATGTGTATTACCAAGTATTATGGTTTTGAAAAATTTTATGTCAAAAATTACCATAATAGACGGTTATTGAGTTACTTCATTTTTACATTACTATACTGTCATTTACTACCGAGGGATTTTCCTAGCCTGGGTCACTCCTCTCACCTGACTCACAATTTAACATATACTTCGAGCAATCAACCGACTGTCCCAGGTTTACACTAAACAAGTCTGAGGGCAGCAATAGCAATGTCCATGCTACTAATCTTGCTGTTTTACATATCAAGTTTCAGCTCTGCTTTTAGCCAATATGAATATTGAAAAATATTTAAACGAGTACAATGTGAAAACACCCACCAATATTATCTTTCTCTTTGCATGAGATAGAATAACAACAAATTTCTCTGTCTTGGATGGCTGCAAGATTCATTCTCTCAATTAGTTCTTTTTCATCAAGTGAGTTAGGGAGATCTTTCTTATTACCAAGTACAAGCACCTGTGAATAAGATAAAAATAGCATTATTTTTACATATAATCACATGATATTTTCACTCAGGTTGATATCAGCTGACACGAGTTATGTATCAATCAGGCCAAAGGTGAGGATTTATGCAACTCTGGGGTAATCACATGTTTTTGTTGACATCAATCATATATCATCATACATATCATCGATAATACATTTATCATATACATATTCAACAAGCCATGCATGGCACAGTCCCCGTTAGTTAGCAAATTTAAGATATATAGTTTTGTTTATAGTAATATACCTGGAATATAACCATGTCAGGAATATGATTTTTTAACATTAAAATGATTGACATTTGTATCTGATTGTCAAACAAGTACTTGTCCATATTGAGAGATATTGCTCTGGAAAAGCATTCAAAATCAGCCATTTTGAATACATGTATATATATATAACATGATGTATAACGAATATATAAAATTTGAATATAATCAGTCAAAGCATTTATGAGATATGGCTCTAGAACCCCAATCATTAAAGCAAAATTGCCGCCAGTCAGCCATTTTGAATCCAATCTGAAAAATAAAATGACGTGCATCAGGAACCCGTCTAATGTATGTAACCAAGTTTGAACGAAATCCATCCATAAATACCAGAAATGCTTGATATATAATATGATGACTTTTTAGCACAAAAATGACCACCATTCGGGCATTTTGAATAGGATCGTCAACCAATATATCTGTTTATCTATGACATCATGTATAATGAATATTTCAAATTTGAATATAATTAGTCAAAACAAGTCGGAGATATGGGTCTAGAAGCCCATTCATTAAAACAAAATGGCCGCCAGACAGCCATTTTGAATCCGATTTGAAAAATAAATGATGTGCATCAGGAACCTGTAATGTCTAATATATGTACCAAGTTTGAACAAAATCCATCCAGAAATGCTTGATATTTGATGATTTTTTAGCACAAAAATGGCCACCATTTGGCCATTTTGAATAGGATCGTCAAACCAATATATCTGTCTATCTATGACATCATGTATAATGAATATTTCAAATTTGAATATAATCAGTGAAAGCAAGTCAGAGATATGACACAAGAGCCACATTCATTAAAACAAAATGGCCGCCAGTCGGCCATTTTGAATCTTATCTGAAAAAAATAATTATTTGCATCAAGGTCCCATAACGTCAAATGTATACACCAAGTTTGAACAAAATCCATCTGTAAACAGCCGAGAAATGCTTGATTTTTAGGATTTTTTAGCACAAAAATGGCCGCCCTTCGGCCATCTTCAATCAGATCGTGCAACAAAATGAAGTGCATCAAGGTCCTATAATGTCTAATGTATATACCAAGTTTCAACAAAATCCATCTGTAAACAGCCGAGAAATGCTTGATTTTTAGGATTTTTTAGCACAAAAATGGCCACCATTCGCCATCTTGAATCAGATCGTGAAACAAATTGATGTGCATATGTATAATAAATATCATGTATGATGTATGTGTGAAGTTTGATTGTGATTGGTCCATGCATTTCTAAGATACAGGACCGGACGCACGCACAAACACACACACGGAGGTCAAAACATAAGTCCCCGTTTTCGGACTGCGTCCGAACGGGGACTAAAAAAGGTGAAATGGAGAAAAAAGAACTATTGCTGAAATAACACTAAATGTTCTATTTCATGTAAACGAAACAAGCAGCCTGTCGGCTGAGATAGCTCCGCTGTTAGCAATAATGCACATTTCAATTAAAGAACTGAAGATATCATTAGAAAATGAACAATATGTATCGTATCAAAGCAATCGGACTTGCTGTTGTATCACTTTTTACCAAAAATTACAAAAATATTCATCAAAATTAGAAAATTGAAGATATCATCATGAAATGAACAAATCTGAGTGAGGTCCACATGTAGTACCTATATATGTAATACATATCAGGGCAATCAGACTTGTGGTTTTTAAAAAGAAGTCGAAAATATCAATGACAAAAATATTCACCAAAATTAGAGAATTAAAGATGTCATTACAAAATGTACAATCACTCATATGATAAGCTCCGCTCGACAAAGTCAACAGCGGAGCTAAAGTTCAGTCGTATGTGACGCAACACCATGGTGATATGGGCTTTTGATCAGCCCTGTGTCACACTGTGGTGATGCGCTAGTTGTGCATGTTTAACAGTACAGAACACATTTGGTGAAGAACAAAAATGAAAATTATTACACAAGTTTAATGAATCTGATTGTTGGGTCGTAAATTTGACATAGATTTTTTTCCATGTATCCATTTTCCAGCTTCTAAAAGGCTAAAAACTATGGTTGTAATTTGTAAGTGCGTATTCAAGACATCGATGAGTATTTTGCAAAAATTATCACCGTTCAAGAAGAGTGATTGCCCTCAGTTTACCATATTACTCAGCTAAGCTAGGTAAGAAATAGCTATTTTCTAAGCCGTCAATATATTTTACAGTTTATATATTATAATTTTAGAGTCAATTCAGACCGTGGCTGATTGCCGCTAGATATGGGTAAAATAAATTACTATGCACGGAGATGAGGTTGGGAAAATTTGAACTGACTTATGTAAATATATGTAGCCTAATATCACACATGCATTTTCACAGACATTTTAAATTGTAAGAAATATTCAAATACAATTCAAGAAATTTTGTGTAAACCGCCAATGTCTTAAGATATTGGTGTATGTTGTGATTTTCAGTCATTATTTTTTTTTCATGAAAGACTTCTTCATAAATGGTTTTGTAATGGATTACAATAGACTGAATTTATTAACTTGTCCTCTACATTAATAATTGAACATTTTAGACAAAAGACTCAACTGTAGGACAATTAGTGACGGTTTGACTGATGTTTAATTTAATCTTTGAACACAATAGTCCACATTACTAAAGCAATAATTGTTGTACATGTACGTAGCAAATAAAACTCACCGGGATTCCTGCTAATTGTGGTTTGTCAAGAAGATTATGTAGTTCATTACGCGATGCTTCCAGTTTCTCATGATCCGCTGCATCTACCATATAACTATGAGGAATTATGAATAGAATATCAGACACACTAGTTCCTTCCAGTTGGTACTACAAGTAATACTGTGCTGTGTGAGATGTGAGCAAATATGTGTGCTATGATGAACTGTTCTATAAGATGAAAACTATATTACCAGTATGCAGAATAGCAGACCATCATCAAAAGAATATATTAACTGGCATGTCACCAGAAAGAAAACAAGTCTGACACATAATGATAGTAACAATTCAACCCCATCTACCATCTGGCTAGGAAAACGGAATAAATAATTACATCTCTAGGGACGTCAGTTTTACATGTATTAATACAAGAATGACATAACATGCACTGTACCAGCAGGTCAACTCTGTGATTTACTTGTAGGAAATTACATCAAATTACAATTATCGATGCTACAGCATAACAATTCTCAAGGTTTATCTTATAAACATATATCAGGTTTGTGTCTAATAAAAAATAAAACCCGATGTACTCAAAGTATGTTGCAGCTCCTAAAAGATTATCTAGCACGTCATATATTTTATTTTTATTCTTCTACAAGATTTAGTTAACATACTATTAAATGAGAAGTAAACTTACACTATACAATTGACTCCTCTGCAGTATCTTTCCCACATACTTCGAAACCTTGGTTGACCACCAATGTCCCAAACCTGTACAAACGCACAAGTTGTGAAGCAAGATAATGGTAAATATCAATTGTTGATATAAACAAATACTCTACTG